TTGATTGGAGTTTGTTATAGATTACATGACAATCTTGGAGAAATCAAAAAATAAATTTTATGAATACCATGTCAAAAGTTTGATTGTTTTTCTTCTTTTTCTATTGTTTTCGTGTTATAAATAACTAAAAAAGTTTGCTTAGTTCGCGTTAATACATTTGTTTCTGAAAAAACAAAAGTTGTTTCTCAATGTGTTAAAGTGTAACAAAATTTCATATCAAATTTCAATGCAAGATCAATAATGTAATGTTGGTAGAAGTTCCACCACAAACACTGCAAAAAAATATTTTGCCATTCTCGACGGATTTCGACGTCAACTCAAGCCTATGCTAATTTTCCAGGAATTCCAAAATGCATATGGAGTGAATGCATCATCGCTTATCAGTCTGTGAATACTTATCGTATTGATATTCTTGACAATTACTGGTGGGTACTTTTTACCTATGTGTTGAACATAGCCAAACGAACGCATGGAAACTGTACCGGCTATCATCAATAACTCAATTGGAGATTACAATGTACATTGTACACTCTAGAATCAAAATAAAAAATGTAAACCTATGTTACATTATGCGTAGAAATAAATTACTGAATTACACATAATTTTTGTCTTAAAACAAAAGTGCTATATTATTTTTTTGTGCTTGGACATTATAAATGAAAGGTTTTTCTTAAATAAAATCAATATTTTTTTTTTTGTTGGAGTTTGGGTAAAAATGGGTTAAAATATTTTTTTTTGTGAATGTGCATATTCAATTTATTTTTTTTGCTGATAGACGTAAATAAATACACCTAACCCCCGATTTTCACGATAGGTACGTTCATGAGAAAACGTGTAAATTGAAAAAAGTACTGAGTAAAACGAGGAATAGGTGTATAGATTATAAACCTAAACATAAAATTATAACTAACCAAAAGGAAATTTCCTTTCTTATATACAAATGGAATTTAATTGAAATATTTTATATATATAAGCCATGAACAATAAACTCAGCTATTTATTTTAATTTTTGTCATGTTAGGATTATGATTTGATAAAACTATGATTACCCGGTGCATTTTTATTTTTTTCCCCAATAAAATGAAGGTGAATTTTGTGGGAAAGAAGTAAAAATAAAATGATAAAATTCGACGGGATAAGAGAAGCCACCGGATTACGCTGTCAATATTTCATTCGGTATCGAATAAGGGATTTCCAAACATCTAGAAAACGTTTTCACTTTAAATATTATTATGATTATTATTACTATACTTAAATATATTCAGGTGGTATTTTTTTGCTACTCCCTTCCAGAATCACGTCATCTTATATGTGTGAGCGTACAAAAGAGGGCGCATGAATGCGTCGAGATTTCGAGCCGATTTCACCATTTGATGTATTCCTCCCGTGTGTATTTGCTCGAGCTTTAATAGTTTCGTAAACTTGAGCGACGGCCGGGAATATTTATTGGTAAGAGGAGAGAGAGGGAAGATATTGCAACGCCACCGCCTTTTCTACGGCCCCGGACGCCGCCCCGTCTTATGCAAACCGATGTCAGCTAAAACGTTCACCGGTGTTTCGCAAAGTTATAAAGCATTTTGTACATGCAGACGCACTTACATAAATATAGAAAGAAACAAACCTTTTTCTGGAGGATTTATGGTAACAACAACAACAACAAGAATACGAATATATTTATAAAACGCAAAACAATGTTTGAGAAAGAAGAAAAACGAACTTTCTTGATAAATGATATCAGCAATACTTTTTTTTTCTAAAACTGACGCTTCTTCTTAACCTCTTGGAATTAATAAGAAAAAATAGACAATATCAGTAATGTAATGAAATCCGTGCATATCACCTTTACACTAAAGAAAGACAACGGCCCAACCTGCCTGAAAGACTGTAATCTAGACATGCATATCAACAGAAGACTGGAAGAGAAAAAAAATTGAAAATACAATTTACAAATCTCTATTGGCAATTAGGGAAATGGTCAGATTTATCAATGGAGAATAAATTACTAATATATTAAGTAATACTGATATTAGAAATTATCCATAGGTTTAGATCAAAATGTCTAAAACATGATCAGGGCTGCATGGTTCATTAATAATAAACAAATACATCAAGATCTTCCTGTAGGTCGACTATACCAACGTTTAGTATTAGGTGCAAAGATAGGTCGTATCGTAATTCGTAATTTTTAAGATTTAGAATATAATTTCAATTGATAACTGAATTTGTCATTTGTCAAAATGAAATCTTTAAGAAAATTAACGAATTATAAATTAAAACTATTATTAACCAAAATTATGTTATTGAAATTCGAATTATGAATTGATGCATTCTTATATTTGAAATTTAAAAGTAAAATAGTAATCAGATAATGCATATTACTTAATATAGGCTTCGTGCCATCAACTTCAATGATAACTAAAATCTGATCCATTTAATAGAGTTGCGACGAAAGCGGAAACTTTATTTGCAAAGTTTTGTCTCGTGTAGTGCTCCGCTCCGCTCTCCTCTCTTTCTCTCTCTTGATATTTTCCCATGTAAATAAACCCAAAGTTTGCGAAACTATTAAAGCTCGCGAAAATACACACGGGAAGCGCACGTCAAATCGGCCCAAGCAATTTCCAAACATGCATTCCCAATGAAAAAACGAAAAAAAGAACATGCAAATAAGTCATTAAGTGCATGTAGACAATAAACTTTGTATATTGGGTGGAAACATGGGGAGGGATGCGCGTTTCGGGGTTTCCAATGTTCATCCGAGCTTACTAAAGTTTAGACCCAACCGCACCGCTTAAAGCTACCCCCTAAATATAATAGCGGTTTAATCGTAATGCGATTATCGGCAACCCCTGGATAGATAAATGTTATATTGATGCCAATAAAAGCCTTGACTCGTTCCGGATCCGAAATATGCCTGTTGGTTAGTGCTGTAGTATTGTTTTGAACGTACTGTCGTCTGGTGTAGTTTAGTTACGGAACGTTGGCAACGTTTGATGTGACGCCGAATGCGAATGTGAACATTGAATTAACATTAGGCCGTAATTACCAACACTAATCATCGATCATAATGCGCGTTCCGATAAATAATTAATTAGTATCGATTTGGAAGATGCAGATTTGCTGGACCCAACCGTAGTGTAACATGCATTTGCATCGACCAATGCACGCTTCTCATTATATTAATTAACCTCAGCCAATCCCAAACACCAAAATTACTTGCTAAGTTCTAATGTCGTGACGCTGCATTAAGATTGTATTAAATTAATTTACAGTATGCTGCTTGAGCTGATTTGTTATTATCTAAAGCGCTCTTGATTAGATTGAAATATATATTGAGATAAGTTAATAGTAATCAAAATGTATTGATAAATGTTATTGCTCTTGCTTCCATTACTGGTAAACGATTAACCAGTTTTTCCGGTAATTTCGGTATTTTTTTTGTCTCAGAAATTGAAAATGATAAAATGATGATGATAATAAAGATATTCAAGATTACGTCAAAAAATAATTTAAGAAGGAAATCTTTATAAATTGAAATAATATGCCAAAAACAGTATAATTTATCTACATTCCTAGCTATAAAATTGGTTATACATATTTATTTTCCTCCATACTATATAAAGTACTCGAAAAATATTTTCAATTTTACTATATTTTTTGTAATCGTTAACTAATAACGCTATGCGAGATGAGATTACAAAGTTTTCGATGTAGCAGAGAAGATAGCTTGTTACAAACACATTGTATCTTACAATCGAATTTCATGATTGAATGTTTGCCGCCTCCGGCACCGTCAGCAATGATGATAATAATGAGTTCTGCACGCGAATTTCAATAACTTTATTTAACTCGGTTAATGGATTGTATGCAACTCGCCTCGGGAATTGCATTTATCATACACATATATATGTATATTTGCGCATGTTTCGTACTAACTAGTTAGTCTCCATTGTCTCCTCGTTGTCTGTCTCTTTCGAAGTCTATCTCATTCGATCTCCCTCGACGAGAGCAAGACATTTTGTACTGTGTGTCCTCTCCATAGGGAAGGCATGTATTATCTTCGAAAGACTTGCTGCGAGTTTAGCTTGCCCTGCAGGAATATCTTGTATATATCTATATCCGACAGTTTGCCTCTTCCTAGATACACCACGCTGCATATCTACTATATAGATATGTAGATATGCACGCTAGCAAGTTGAAGATCCGGATCGTTCCAAAACCATCCTCCTCATCCTCGAACCGACCCCTCGACCCGATATCAACTTTGTTTCTCCAATGTTATAAGTTTAGCTGACGCCACCAGTATAATATTTTATATTCAAAGTAATATTTTTTGTCCTCCCTTGTCGCTTCTTTCTCCCTTTTTCTCTTTAAGTTGAACCCTCTGTCCTGCACGACGTCCCATTACTATGATTTATTGATACGAATATTTAAACGTTATAAAATGAAACTTTCAAACCTAATAATATCATTTTATACACTTGCATAATTCATAACTCACAGCCGTAAATCTTACGTATCCGGTCTCCATTACCTTCTGCTCTCCTTCTCTCTATTATTTATTTTCTTTTTTGTCTATTTCCGTTCAAAATTTTTTCATTTTATTTTATAACTTATATTTATAAATCTACCTGCAAAGTTTCCTCCATGAATTCCTTTACGCTCCAGTAATTGCTGCGCGCAATTATTATAAATTCGCTAGGAAAATCTCTTTCCAGTCACAAAACGGTAGCATAATTCATGCCTCATTTACAACAAGATATGTATTTTATACTGTTTAATGCATATTTTATGATGATTTGTGTATAGATTTAGTTTATATATTCTAATAAAAATCTGCAGTTTTTACAAACATTTTCTAAATACATTTTGTACATACCTAATTTAAAAAGATTTTTATTCTCTAATCTATAAATATTAATCTAATTTTAAGATTTTCATTCATCTAAATATATTTAAATCCTCGAATCTTATATTATTTTTTGCTTGTTTGTTTCAGAAAAAAACGTTGAAGAAGTTTACGCTATCTTTCTTCTATTTGTGTTCTCTGCAGTATCGATACTTAAAACGGAAATTAAAGTGCTGCAAGAAGCGCGAGATTGAAAAAGAGCGAGAGAAAAGTAGGAGTTCAAGAAAAAAACTTTTGGTATGTATCACATCAGAAGACGTCTATATTTACAATAGTTTAATTAAAGAATTAAATAAATAAAATAACAACAATTCATTTTATTCACTTCAACATGTTAATAATTGTCTATTATTAAACAATTCAATAGTATAATTATTCTTACTTACACAACAGCATACGCATATTTTTACTGAAAATAAAAATTAAATAAGTTTATTTGAAAATATCAAATTGAAAAAAACGTATTAATTTTAGTAATTAGAAAATATTTAACAGAAATATATTTTTTTCCCCTTTGGCCAGCCTATTGATAAATATTTTTACTATATGTTAAAATTTATTTATGTATAAATTGTACTTTTTTTTCTTCTTCTTATTTATTAATGTTTGGCCAATAAATTATTATTATTAATATTTTTTTTTATTATTAGTGAACAATGTTATAAAAAAATATATTATTAATGAATCTATTTTTGTATCATTTTCGAATTGGTTATAATGATGCGATAATTGATTTGTGCATATAAATATATATCATGAGGTAGGCAATAATTCGAGACAATGTTGTCGCAGCTCCATTATAAATTGTTTATTCAATATCGGGAAATTCATTAGCAATTGAACATTCAGCTGTGTCAATTCAATGAAACAACAGCAGAAACAAAATCAACAAGAAAACAACCACAAAGTGGAACATGGCGAAATTTGCTAATTGAATAATATTCGCTTTAGTAATAATACGGAAAATATATATATAACTTTGGATCGCTTTAAAAAGAAGAAAAATGTATAGGGTCTGAGGGACAATACAAAGGAACGGTACCGGAAATTAAAACGGGAAAACGAATTCGCGAAAGGTGATTTTAATTCCTGGTTTTTCCCCTTCTCACAATCATCTTTCTCCCAGACCAAAACAAAAGAAAAAAACGTGAATATCCCGGGACGATGGAGAAATAAAGCAATTTCCTTTGCTCGTTCCGTTCTCGTTATGAATTATACGTATATCTGTATAGAATTAAATGAAAATTGCTACTGTTTTTATCGCTTTTGATTCGGGATAATTGATGATATTCAACGGATTATGTGTTTCGTTCATTTTCTTCATTCAGTTTGAAATTAAATTCAATCTACTTTCAATACTATTGACGAGAATTTTAGAGAAAATTGTGTCAAAGAGTCATCGCGTTTAACGAATTTTTAAAATTACTTAATGAAAAATTAATACTTTGATAATTATTTATTAACACTAACACATTACTGCGATTTTGTTTTGTTTCTAGTAGCATAAATAAATAATTAGCAAAATAAAAAAAGAACTATAAAATTAGTCAAAATTCCATTTTAAAAAATTTTAGAAAATTTCACGAATAAGAATCAACAGTAATTATAAAAATTACTTTGGTTATTTATATTTTTTTTCATTTTCATTAAATCTAACATTTTTTTATGTCGTAATACTTTTATTCACAATCCGTTCATTCACATTGAGTAAATTTTAGATAGCAGTTGACATTAAATGGATAAGCTTTCCCGGTGGATAGTTACCATTATGATGATTTTGAACATTAATAATTACTTAAATATATATACTAAATCTAGTGGTTTGTAACGCTTCAGCCTGTTTGTGGTTTCACTGTTATCGAGTAGGCCAATAGCCAGAACATTAGTATGTGACTCCATAGAGATCTTGGTATCTACTACAAAATGTTGGTATTTTATGCTCGACCATATCTATATGAAGATCTTTATGTATTTGTTTATTCGAACCATGGAGCACTAATAATATTTCTTATGCATTTTTGACTGGAACCTTTTTATAATTTGTATGTTCGATTTAGTGGCCGTACCCCACAATTGGATAACATACGTCCATACTGTGTGTTCTATAAGTATTTTTTTGCACTGGTAATTCCGACCATTTCCCTAGAACCCAGTAGAGTTCTCTAAACTTTATTTCTAATTGCTCCCTCTTAGCCTGAATGTGATCTTTTTGGTGATTGTGATATGTCTAAAAAGGCAGCCGAGCAGTATATTTTGCTTTCCAGATATTGGTAGATGGTATTCACTATTCTGTTTACTTGCTCTATTGTGCCGTGTTTGCAACAAAAGCAAAACTTTTGACAATATCGGTAGAAGACTTATGGGTCTGTACGACTGGATTTCTGCGACAGGTTTTCCTGACTTAGCTATTATTATAATTTGTGCGACTTTCCACTGCGCTGGAATGTTTTAATTTCCTTTGGGCTTATTGGTTTTACAAGAATTGAAATGGACGTTTGAAATGGAGAAGATAAAAAAAACTTGAACTTCCTTATTTTCTTCCATTCAGACTTGCGCTGGAAGTGGTAAAATATAACAATGATTTAATAAAGTCTTAAAATAAGTAGAAGCAAAAAAAAATATTTTAATTCGATTTTTTTTTGTGCTTTCTTCCCTCGTCGTTCGAAAGACGATTACAAATACTTTTTCTCTATATTCTCAGCTCCTAAATTAAGTTTGTACTGTTTTTCCGGGCTTGAGTTTCCCCAGTTTTTTGCCAATTGTAAGTGTTGGGTTTAGCATTCATTATGAGAATGTAAGAGAAAGAGAGAGAAATGTTGGGTCCTCGAATTGTTTCCACAATTTCCATTGTAGGTCGTCGGCTGCTGGGGGCATTAAAAAACTTTATGCATACATCGTAAATATCCCTCTTGCTCTTTCGTTTCTAAGAGAGAAAAACTGCTTTTCGGGCTGCACGAAGCACAAACAGTTTTAAGAGAAACGAAAAGAGAAAAGGAGAAATTTTGAGTTGAATTACGGGGCGGCTGGGGCCAACCAGTATAAATATAAACCTGTGAGGGGAAAACGGAGGACTCCTGACTTATAATACATTTCAGTCGCGATACTTTTTCACGCGAAAAGCGGTCTCCTGTGTGCGTTTTCGGGTGGTCGTTATTAAAATCCTCCGGAATATTTTAATTTACCAGAAGACACGGCGAGAATATTATATGCTCCGTTTTTTACCGCTTTATTTATTTACTTTTGTCGGGTTGCGCTTTTGTTTTCTCGCCCTTAGGATATTTATGCGCTGCAAACTTTTTCATTTTCAGCGGAACCTAAATAAACCCCCGAGAAGCATCTAGTAAGCTATCATCTCTTTGTAAAGATCATTTGTTTTCACAATTTCCTAAAGACAATGTAATTATCAATGCAGTTTTGTTTTCCTGGGCTGTATCCAAGCTATATGTGACATTAATATACAGACTCCATAAACGTTACAATTTTATTTGGATATGGTTCAGTTTATAATTGTGTACTAAAATTTGATATTTTCTTAAAATATATGGAAAAATACCAATTACAATATTTGGAAAAGTATACATCATAATTATTGTAATATTTTCTTATTTAAGAACAAAAAAATTAAATCTTAATATCATTAATATTTTAACAAATTATGTTTTTGGCAATTATTTTCAATTGAAATAATTACATTTAATTTAGGAATAAAAACAATATTTATGAAATTTTTACGCATATTTTATGAATTTATTTATTATTGGAATAATCACGTTCATTTATTTTTCTGGAAATTATTTTCAATTTTAAAAAATACGGTTGATTTACGAAAATAAAATTAATATTTACAAATATTTGACGAAATATTTTTTAGTTGTAATAATCACGTTTATTTTAAGGAACAAAATACTAAATTGTATGGAAATCTCAGTAATTTTCTAATTGAAAATGTATACATGTTTAATTTAAGAAAAAACATTGGATTTTTGTAAATTTTCTACAAAATGTGAAAAATGTATATATTTAAATTATATGGGAAAAATGTTTAACGAAAACTATATTAAATACATACTAATCCATTTTATTTGCCGCCGGATCGGATCCTGGTCAAACTAGGCCCTTTGTGAACACTATCGGTACTTGCAGAAATAGGGTCCATCACAGATTGACGACGTGAAATGAACGACGTTCTTGCATATGGACTTTTAGCCAAGTCTCGATGGACAATGACAGTGTTAAGGATAGCAGCAGATTCACAGTGAAAGGAAAGAGTGGAATCGCAGATCATCTATATACTACTGATAGTCATCATAATGATAACTATCCACCGGGAAAGATTATCAATTAATGTCAATTGCGTTCTTAAAGTTACTCAATGTTCACATTAATGAACAGATTGTGAATAAAATTATACGATATAAAAAAAAATATATACATATTTAATTGAATTTGAATTACTGCTAAATTGTGTCTGATAGAAATTAATATAACGTTCGAGAAGAGGAAATTATAATTATTATTGTTTGATTAAATGCATTTGGTAAAGGATTCATACATACCTGAAAGAGAATACCTTACGTTTTGTTTGGGTTCCTAACCCTTGCGTTATGTTGTGGGAACGGATGATAATGAAGCTATTTATTATGAGTATGCTCTAGGAAGCTGTGGATATTATATATAAATATATGTATATGAGAGAGAGGCAGAGAGAGAAATGCGGATTTGGCGTTGAATGAGTCCAGTTAGTGGGGCTTTAATCGACGATCGGACGGGATATGACCGAAACAATGGACCGACGTAATGCATTACTGGAAGTTCATGTTCCACTATAATTAACGCTCGGCCACAACACGGCGCATATTAGAACGTAATTGTTTACTGGCCCCGACGATACTTAAAACTGCCGCAATCTAATTAAATAATTAACTAATTAAATTAAATCATGGAAGTCGGCATCGTGCAAAAAAAACTAAGAAAAATATTGGACTCTTAAGCCGTAGAGCCCATGGATTAAGGATGGTTCATGAAGAGGAAGTGATGTCTTTCTCGTGTCACAAAGACAACGTAAACTCTTTAAGACGAAAATTCAGTTTAATTGTTGTTATATCCTTTGACATGCAATTACACACGGAACGCATCAAATATCCGTAGCTATGTGTGCTGTTACTCTACAGTTACACTACGAGTTTGCACGGATGTGCGCAAATAGCACAAACATAAACATTTAATAACTATTTTTA